GGTCGCTGGCCAGCCCTGTCCCCTACGTGCTGGCATGTGCATTTCCATGCCCTGGGATCTGTCCGAGTGCACTAAGAGCCTTGAGAGTGGCCTGAACTGGCTGCTGTTCAATCGTCAACTCACTTCCAGCCTTCTCAAGATTGTCAAAAGGAATGCTGACATGCTCTCTGGGAAGTACGACGTTCCAAAAATACTCCGAGTAAGTCTAGGTTATTTTCCCCTCTGCGTTGTCTATTTAGCGGTCATGCCAGTGCAAAACAACATGTACTAGACCACGATTTAATGAGCTTGGTCCCTACTGGAAGCCGCCATGTATGGTAGCTAGGCAACCAAGGCTTAATTATTGCTACCTGCTTCCTACTTAGCATCATGCCACAGTCAACGGTGGTTAATTTGCATCTTTCGGCAAAACTATCTTGTAAGGCCGCCTAAATATTTATTCCCCCGTCTAACTATCTTGCGGAATCGGTGGTTAAACATTTACTTCTTGGTTAACGAGTGTAAACGAGCATGTTGAAAGTGATCAAGTGATTTTGAAGCTGGCCAAAACAGCAGAATTTATTTGCGCAAATAAATTTCGAGACAACTTACAAACTGCGTCCTCTCTGTGCATGAATAACGGAACAATTGGAGAACACATCATTTTGAATTTTCACAAAATCGATAGTAGCAAGATCATGTTAACGTGGCAACTGGTCAATAGTTATGTCAACTTTAAACTTGGGGCGAAAAGGGGGGAAACGAATTAACAAAAATAAAAGTGTGGTATGTAGTTACTAGGGCACTTGAAGATTAACTAAATAGTCTAGTTGCTTACATAGGTCGGGTTTCTCCCGCCGTATGTAGGATGCTTCCATGTAACGTAAGGTCTGGTTTGTTCGTGCTCGAACAAGAGCTGGGAAAGGTGTGTTGGTGTCAACGGAGTGACCACTGTCTAGCAAGTGTTTTGTAATAGATGACCGTGACAGTTTGTTTTCTTGTTTTAAAAGTCAAGCAGGCATATGTTCAGCAGCCCTGGTCACCAATTGCCTTTGCGTACGGCCAATGTACTTGGATCCGCAAGTGCAGGTGAATTCATAGACGCAGTTTGAGGTGGCGTGCAAAGGTAAGGCTTCTTTTGACCGGTTGACTGGAAGGCTTTTAGTTTCGATATTCATACACAGAGCGGACGCAGTTGATAAGCTCTCTCGAAATTTATTTGTGCGAGTAAATTCTGCTGTTTTGGCCTGCTTAAAATTTGGCTTTGGAAAAATTGCTTTAAATCCATCAAGTAATGTTAAATTGAAGTTACTTATTATTGTTTAATGAGCTAAATATATAATTAACGCCGTTAAATTAAACTCCTGTTGCTCAGGCAACTGATGCCTATTGATCGGAATTTGACGTATGCATAGATGCACGAACTGTGGACTTGCGCGACGACTGTTGTTCCAAAAGCCAGCGCGAGAGAAGAAAAGAAAGGAATTGACCAGGCGGACAGCTGTATTAACAGTTAGCAAGTCGTTTGCACATAAAGGCCGTGTATATTTATTAATCCGCTTGATAGGAGAGTGTCGGAGCCATGGACCAATCAGATTTGACGAGAAATCGATAACCACGGCAGCAGTGGGGCAGCTCACACAGACGCCTTTGTGTGCGATCGCTCATCGTGCGAATGAAGGCATTCAGCTGCGTACGGTTTTTGCCTATTTATAAGATGGCATAACCTGTGCAATTAAATATCGACCCAGAGGGATTAAATGTGATTGGTAAATAAAACGTGCGGACTCGAATTTATTCCGAAAAAGCAGTGCTTCAATTATCTTTAAAAAATGCAATCGCCGGGGAGAGGGACAGTTGAGAAGATGGAGACGCGATCGTTGCAACGAGGATTTTATCGTCTGACGTTTTTTGATTCGTTCCCGAAGATCCGAGATCCGAGACACCAACAGGATAGGAAACTGGGCGCACAATGGTTGTAGTTGGTATGTAACTCGAAGCAGCGTCTCGTTCCTTCATTGCGTGGACACAGCGTCTGCTAGGTCG